AAAAAAAACAAATAGCACTAGCAGTAAAAGTAGCAACAGTACTACAATAGCAGCAGTATCGTAGTGGTAGTCGCAGTGTTTCGTGGCAGGTGCAGTACTTTGTGGACCTTGCAATGCACATTTCGTGGCAGGTGCAGGACTTTGTGGACGTTGAAGTGCGGAGTTGGTGGCCAGTGGCAGGCGCAGGACTTTTTGTGGACCTTGAAGTGCAGATTTCGTGGCAGGTGTAGTACTTTGTGGCCCTTGGAGTGCAGATTTCGTTGCAGGCGCAGGACTTTGTGGACCTTGAAGTGCAGATTTCGTGGCAGGTGCAGGACTTTGTGGCCCTTGGAGTGCAGATTTCGCGGCAGGCGCGGGACTTTTTTGTGGACCTTGAAGTGCAGATTTCGTGGCAGGTGCAGGACTTTGTGGATGTGGAAGTGCAGAGTTGGTGGCCGGTGCAGGACTTTGTGGGCCTTGGAGCGCAGATTTCGTGGCAGGCGCAGGACTTTTTGATGTGGAAGTGTAGAGTTGGTGGCAGGTGCAGGACTTTGTGGGCCTTGGAGTGCAGATTTGGTGGCAGGCGCAAGACTTTGTGGACCTTGAAGTGCAGATTTCGTGGCAGGTGTAGTACTTTGTGGATGTTGAACTGCAGATAGACAGATACAAAGATAGAAAGATAAATGGATCGATAAATGGATCGATAGATAGATAGATCGATAGATAGATAGATAGAGTCGATAGAGGAGGCATATTTGCTTGGTTAGAAAATTTTGCACCGGGGAGTTCACCTCAAAATATTGATTTCGTGGCAGGCGCGGGTGTCGGGGATGAAGTGCAGATTTCGTGGCGCGGGGGGTTGGGGGGGGCGCAGCGCCCCCCCAGCAGCACACCAGATCCAAAGGTGAGCAGCTCGTGCTTGCTTGCTTCCTTGTTTGGTTTCGTCTCTGCAAAGCGAACAAAAGGAAAAGCAAAATTCAAAAGCAAAAAAGAGAAAGGAGAACAGCTGCGAAAAAGAAAGAAAGAAAGAAATAAAGAAAGAAAGACGAAGGACCAGAGGACCAAGGGACTAGCGGACCAGTGTGGACCAGCGGACTGCAGGGGACCAGCGGACCAGAGGACCAGCGGACCAGGGGACCAGAGGACCAGGGGACCAGAGGACCAGAGGACCGGCCACCTACACGACTGGGAATTCCAAGGGATTTCATCGCACAATGAATATTTTTTATTGATTCAGTAAATATTTATTTTTTGATTCGGTAAATATTTTTTGATTCGATAAATATTACTTTTTGATACCTATGCCCGACTCGTTCATCCGCTCAGAGGAAGCCGCGGCAAACAGAAGACTCGTCCATCGGACCATGGGCTCAGACACCGCGCTCCGTCGGTCGTACGACGGACGCCGCGACGGTGCGAACGCAGAACGCAGCCAGACTCCCCGACCGCCAACTCCAAGGCTCAAAGAAAACGACCCCAACTGACATGTTGAAAGTAGAAAAGAACGGTGAAAGAGGAAGAAAAAGCGAAGACATCGAAAACAATATGTTGGATAAAGTGCTTGCATGTGTATATGTATACATGCATGTATGTAAATATATATATATATATATATATGTGTGTGTGCGCATGGTCTCACAGCCCTGCAATAGTCACATCAGTTGTCAGTAGAACCAAGTTGTCCAAGAGCCAGATTGGATTTGACCGGATAAACATCTGAATGGCGACACTCTGCATTAACCATGTGGCAGCTTGACTAGCCCTGCGTCAGCCTGGTTGAAGACAACCGCCTTAACGAACATGGAGCTCATGTCCAAAACCGAGGAAGTGTGCCAATCATTCAGGGACTGGTTGAAGCTGCTCGCTCCGTGAAACATGCTCGCCATTGTGGTCACCTTCGAGGTGTCCCAGGAGCCCACGGCCTCACAGATTGGAGACAAGCATGTGATGCATGTGATCTCCACTATCTTGAATCTTGAAATGTTTGACTGGCTGAGACCACCCTGCCTGGTTGAAGCTTCTGGCGTCCCAGAACATCTGTGACATGTCCCTGACATTAGAGGTCTTCCAGTGTCTCAATGGATGGTTGAAGCTCCTCGCTCCACTGAACATGGAATGCATAGTGGTCACTTTTGAGGTGTCCCAGGAGCCCACAGCCTCGCGATGTCAAGGCAGGTTGGTCCTACTGCCACTGGAAAACCACACCTGACCTCTTGCCGTTCTCTTAAATTTCTTTTTGGCAGATGCTATACTGCATAGTTATATACATATATAACTAATTGACCAACCCATCTTCAACATAAGCACCGGATCATGACAACTTGCAACATGGAACATAGCATATCACATAATCTATATCATAGCACGTTCTGCCTTTGTGGCTTTCCATGAGCCATGCAGAAAAAAAAACAATGTGAAACCAAATTGCACTGCTGCTCTAACTCGCAAGCTAAGCCCTATGCGCCTGGTCAAAAGCAACGGCATAATAGAACATGTAGCTCATATCAGTCACTGCCGAGGTGTTCCACTCATCCAGGGGCTGGTTGAAGCGCCGGGCTGAGCCAAACATGCCAAGCATCGTGGTCACCTTCGAGGTGTCCCAGCCACCCACGGCCTCACAGAGTGGCTCCACGCATGTGGTCCCAGTCCGATGCGTAAAATCCACTTGGTTCCTCAGTTGCTTCTCACCCTCGATCCTCACCCTCGATCCTGCCTTCCAAACCTTCCGTGTTGGATTGGCCTGGTCAATTGAAAAGGTATGTTGAAAAAGTGCACCCGGTACATCCTAGCACTGCATTCAAGGTTGAACCTGCACGGACTGTTGATTGTCCCGATGAGGTCGTGATGTCTGGCAAACGCGGCCAACGCCCACGCGCGATACCGTCCAGCCTGGTTGAAGCGGAGCGCACGGGCAAACATGCCGCTCATGCCGGTCACGGCGGACGTCTTCCAGCCGCCCAGCGCCTGGCGCCCCACTGCGGGAAAAAAGGTCCACTGCGGCGTCCACTTGGTTGTAGGGGGTGAGAGGAGCAAGCACGATAAACATCGAGGAGGAAAGAAAGGAAACAAAAAATGGGGGTTAGTTGTTGATGGTTGATGGAAGTTGATGCGGAAGATGTTGCCTGATGGCCATGAAGAGTGCAAAACCAACACGTTTAGGCATGGCGAAACCGCCAACCATGCACTCGAGATGTCATCTTAACACAAGTGGGTCAGCAGCAGTCCGTCAACTGGTCAATTTTTCTCAAACACCCATCCGGAAAGTAGAAACGACACTAAAACTACACCTGAATGAATCATCCTTAATGATCCTTAATTTGCTAAACTATGCCGGTATCTCCGCCGTTCGCCTGGTCAAACGCGGAGGCATCCAAGAACATCTCCTTCATGTCTCGCACTTTGGAAGTATCCCAGGAACCCACAACCTTAGCCATCGGGCCATCGGAGTCGTGATCTTCGAGCGCGAGCGTCGCTTTTTACGGATCGCCTCATGGTTCGCCCTCACAAGCAGAAGGATCGGAACATATCGGAACTGGCTGCACGCGGCACGTGTTCAGCCCCCAACTGAAGCATCCCCCAAAGCTAATCAAAGTCTAGGACCCGCTCCTACCAGCAGCTGTCCCCATGTCAAAGCCTACCCCGCCACCCCTACTCCTGCAAAGCTGCCCCCCCGAAAAGAAGTCAAGAACTCCTGCATGTGCGCGCGCGCGCGCACGGGCACGGGGAATCACTGCGCCTGGTTGAACGAAGAAGCACCTGCAAACATGCCGTGCATATCCTCCACCTTGGATGTGTCCCAGCTGGCCAGTGATTGATTGAAACGGCTGGCACGGCTGAACATCTCCCGCATGGAGCGAACGGCAGAGGTGTCCCACGTCAGCGGTTGGTTGAAGGACGTAGCTCCACTGAAGGTGTAGCCTCAGACTGTGGAGTTCCATTCCCGTGTTTTTGTCCTTCCCCTTCCCACTCCTGAAATCATCATGCAAGTGGAACTTGCCTACCTACTGTTTGGAATTGAAAATGGTCATATAGGGGGCCGCGCCATCCACTTCCACAAGTATTATGGATCCTGATCGTTGGTCGGTTAATATATCTATATATCTATCTGTATATATATCTATATCTATATATATATATGTATAACTTACTAATTACAGTATCGTTGTTTCCCCAGCACAGTTCGATTGGTTCGTGAGGGCGTTGCAGTGATTGTTCCAACACATGTGTACCCCGAATCCGCGTAATTAGTTGTGGGATTGCAAAATAGTTTCAAGAAAGCGGCCAAAATCATCAGATCATCATCCTCCGGCACCGTCCGGATGCTTCTGATAGCTCACCACAACAAGTCCGCGATCTTTAGGCACAAAAGGCAGACCGTTTGGGCACACCAAAGAATCACATCAAAGTCGAATCTCAAATGTCTTCACGCCACTGGGACTTGCAAGTGCGACACAGCACCAAAACATGTTCATTAATTACAATTTAACCCTTGGTGGCTCTGGAGGTCCATGAGAACACCTGCTCAACTCCAACCCCCACCAAACACCAACAGCATGGGAACTTCTTCCATGCGATCCGGATCCCCCTGGTGTTCCGGACGCCCGACCGGCGGTTCCGCCCGTGGCGAAGTGGCTGAGATCGGTCACGGCGGAGGTCTCCCAGGCGCCGATCCTCTCGTCGAAGTCTGCGAGGCCTCGACGAAATGGGGGAATCGTCACTGGAAGACTCGTCCGGTGGGACGATTCTAAGGCGTGAAACACGACTCCCAACGATCCCAAAAGGCCACCGGATGGTGGAAAATTCAAAACCAACGTGTGGATGCTGCCCACAAGTTCAACCATCAAAGCTGGACTGGGATCAACGACCGTATGACACACAGATGTCGCGAATTTAAAGGAACCAAATCGATGTTTTTGGGCGGATGAACTACTGAATCCGCGCAGTTTTTTGGGAAAAATGGGGGGAGGTGCTCTGCGGAGAGGCTTGAAGCCACTGGTGTCACAGCTGCTCAACATCACAAGGGCGGCATCTGACAAATGCCTATGTAGATCATGCTCAACTACATCAGGTCCATGAATTCTATGGACACTTGGTCCGAGTCGGCACATGACCTGTTTCCACTCATTGCTTTCTGCCCACCTTCGAACAGCCCACTGAAGTTGGTCACTGCAGAGACGTTCCACTCAGAGATGTCGCCCCAGCGGGTTCTCAAGTGTTGCCGTTGGGGTTCGCTCGCTGTGGCCCAGGCATCCACCGCAGCTTTGAGGCCAGACCTCCGCACAGCCCAAAGGCCGCTCAAGGGCTCAAGCGATCGAAGTGGCCCACGGGCGGATGGTGGAGTGGTGGAACAAAACATGGCAGCTCAAAACAGCGGCGTTTCACAACTCGAGTTTGTTGCAGATTGAAAATGTCGAAGTCAGACTCCTTTGACCCCGCTACCCCACCCAACGCCAGCCCAAACCGCACGACCACGACGGCCCCAGCTTTGGTTCGCGGAAGGCACGGCTTTCACGGTGCCTGGTGCTGAAGCTTGCCAGGCCATCAGCCACGCAAAACGCGGAGAAAAATGCGAAGGTCCACGCCATGGCTGGTCATCTTTGTGTTCACCCCCCTGCGATCCCAAAAGCCGGGAAATCGACATGACCGGAGCAAGCCTGTGCAAAACATGTCACTGGCAAATCTTCCCCCACCTGCCAACCCAAATCCAAGGCTTTCAATTTCTACCTTCAATCGTGGCACGTCTCCTCCTTCAAGTGCCTCCAGAACAAGCATTCATTTGGCGAACAAGCAAGCAAACGCCATGGTTGGCAGCACAGGTTTCCATGCAGTGAAAGGATGGGCCGATTGACCGTCATCATCGAAAGCACGGACGATGGATGAAACTACACCAACAAGTAGATCTAACGTGCTGTAAAAGCCCAGCGAAACCAAAGGTGGAGGTCCCCAGCATGCTTGCAACCAGGACTTTTAGCACAGCTAACCGCAACAGTGAAAACTGAAAACCCCAACTGATTGATGTAGCGACCGTTTCTCAAACATGACCCGGCCGATCGCTGGAACCAATGCCGCTCAAACTGGTCGCTCACTGTCCAGCCGACCAAAGAGTTTGCGAAAGTCAAAGCCAACCAAAGCAGGCTCAGGTGACCGGGCAGTTGCTGCTGGCATTGGCAGAAGTTGGCACGCACGCAACGACGTTCGGGAAAACTCATCTGTCCACAATGAAACGGATGCAATCAGCCTACCACCAAGCCCCCAACATGCACCCGGGCACATCCAATCAACATCACTTCCCCACCATTCCCCACCCATCACCCAGCACCGTCTTGCACATCGCCACCGAAACACCACATCATGCAACAGAGGGGTTGGAAACCCCCTGTTGTAGAACAAACATGGAATGGAAGCTTTGCCATCACCTACTCACGCACCACATGCACCATTTCCATCAATTGAATTGAAATGGCCACCTGAAACACCATCTCAGGAAGAAACACGCATAATGGCTCTCGCCACCCCATCATTTCATAGAGGAAGCATGTGATGTCCCCACCGCACCTGGAGAACACGTCTGCTTTTCGTTTCATCTTTGCCACCGCCCGAAAGTAAAAAAAATTAGGGCGCAAATCTGAATTTCGCATGGTGTGACAAAGCCTTGTAACCCAGCAAGAACTGTTGTGCCGTTGCGTTTGTTTCCTCAGCCGCCTTCTCTTGCCTTCTGCTAATCCTTCCGAGTTTTCATTACGCACGTTAGAAGCATAACAAGGGCAACGGCAAGCATACATAAGCATACAACATCTGACGGTCTCCTGCGCATACCTGCTTTCACTGTAAAGTTGACCCCTGATGACCGCAAGGAGTGAGCAGTTTTTTTGTTTCTCCCCAATGTTCCTTTTTGAACCGTAGGTCCGGTCTATGCTGTTGGAGACAAGTCAGCGTCCCGAGGTGCGAACTCCAGGGGCGAACCAAGGGAGTTGCCAAATCCTAGCCGGCGGCCTGAGACGCAGGAAATGAGGGGCGTAGCGGCAATCGACTTGGAGCTAGAAAAGGTTTGGGGTGGTCTGCCAGGAATTGGCCGAGAGGAGGTGTGTCCCACGTTGCAGAAACCATCACAAGGGAAAGAAAGCAGTGAGTGCGCAAACGCCGTCATGGCCGCGCGAGACAGCAAGGCGGACCATCGGGCAATGAGTGGGAGGAGGCTGACAGGGCCCCAGCATGGGCCGAACCCACTTTACAAGGGCAACGGAAATTGTTCCTCCCGCGTTTTTCTCGCGTCGAGTTTTTCTTGCGCTGACGGTCCCAGGTTGGACCGCTGGGCCCATCATGCTAGCAGAGCTCGCTCGGGGACCACCCCTGGCAATTAGGGTGGTGCGGTCGGAATCACAAATCTGGACCAGTAATGTGAGAGTTTCCAAACCTTCTGGGCGAGCTGCTATGTATTCTTTTCCCCAAACACCACGTGTCCGGAGCTTGTCGAAAAAAGGCACGAAAGTGGCTTCTGGCAGCCCAAAGGCGCCAATGTAGCCAGCCTCGATGACCCAGCACGATGCATAGATTATGGACCCCTCACCCAGGCAGGAGCTCCTCCCAAGACGTCCAACGCAAACGCGGCATTTGTTTGGGCGTACCCTTCCATACATACATACATACATACATACATACTTGAGGCCAAGGGGGGGGGCGAAAGCTAGCGCTCCAGAATGGGAAAGTGGAGGGCAGCGAGGTAGGAAAAAACACGGCGCTCTTTTTGGAGGCAGGGGTGAAGAGTCCTTTATATGTGGCTCTTTGCCCGGATCCTCCTGCGAGAGAAGAGAGAGAAGAGAGACGGAAACACGAGAGACAGAGAGGAGAGAGAGAGAGAGAAGAGAGAGATGAGAAAGAGATGAGAGAGATGAGAGAGATGAGAGAGATGAGAGAGATGAGAGAGATGAGAGAGATGAGAGAGAGAGACAGTGAGACAGTGAGACAGTGAGACAGTGAGACAGTGAGACAGTGAGAGTGAGCGAGTGCGGCCGCAAGATACGCAACGCTAACCGCATGCCAAAGAGCGACGACAGGACGGAGTCGAACTTGCGAAGAGGGAGGAGGGAGGGAAGGTGGGAGGAAGACAAGGA